AATTTGGTTGTTTTATGCATCTTGTTGACATTTACTATTTTGGTATTGATTTTTTTAAGGTAATTTATGCACTATATATATAATTTTTACTTATTCATTAAGGTGCGCCTCGCTTCAATCGGGTGTCGAGGCGATACAAAGGACTCGTCGCCTTGCAGTCCGCCTTGCGCCTCGAAAACACTGAGTTGAACACATTGAATTATAATGTTTAAATTTTAATTACCCATCTAGTAGATTTTTTCTAACGATAATTTGTTAAAGCAAGCTGCCCACCTACCTAAGATTTAATATCCTACGAGGTACCTTGGCAACCAAATATCGTAGGGTCAAACAGTCGTCTCGTGAGATTAGTCGAAGTTCACGCAAGTTGGCCCAAACACTCACGCATATTAACAAAAAAAAATATTGTTAAAGCACGCAGACAACAGACTCAAGTCCAAAATTATATATCGATTCCCAAACTGTGGCAATGGGTTGTCTATTCTATTTCCTATGTTCTTGTTTCACTGTAGACACACTTTCAATTCACTAGCTAAAAGACCTATTTAAACAACCTCCTAGATGTCTCAAATTTTGTCCCAAAGCTGATCGAAACAAATTTTTTACCATTGTCCAATAATTCGTGTAATAGCAGTCACCTGAAACCAACCCCTAAACTGCAGCAAATTACAACATGATAGAATTAGGAAAAATAGACATTAGACAGCGAAGCTCTCTTACCAAGTGAATGCCATCTGCTGCAATTTCTGTTATCCAAATTCTTTCCACTCTGCCCTCCATTCCATTATACGGTGTAAAAGCTTCGAAAACAGAAGTCAACTCACGGCTTCGTTTCTTGACAATAGCACTTGGAACTTTCTTCATCCTAGCAGCAGGTGTCCCTGAAGGACAATAGAAGGATAATGTATTTTCATTTTAAATGTTTGGCTGTTGGAAATATAAAACATATGATCACATTCACCTTACTTAAGGTCAAAATGAGAAGTTCCAAACACAAATCAAGCATAGTCTAGACAGATATATCCTAGACAATCAATTTAATGAAGATACAGCTACAGACAGGGTTTCTTCAGAGGTAACATAGGCAAACTCTTTAGCTGCTGGATTGTGTACATGCATGAATAATTAATCTTGCTACAATTCATTCATTGTTGTGGCTATTATTACACTTCTTTATCTGAATTAAGTAAAAAATATGTTGTTTGCATAATAGAGAAATCCATAATTAGCAAATGCTCTTTAAAATTGAAAAAAGAAATGTGGAATTTATACCATCCTAACAGGAAACCTTTTAAATTAAATGAAACTTGATTCCTGGTACAATGTCTCTCTTTGGGCATCCGTAACTAGATTTCTGTAATGAAACTTTAGGCATTATTATTTTTAATTGGACCCCTTTTATGTTTTGTTAGATCTTGTTTTTGTCAGGCCATCTTTCTAGGCTGTTGTTTTTGTGGGCACTTTTGCATACTTCTATTTTTCTCAATGAAGCTTAGGTTTTCCATTGAAAAGATAATTATACGAAGGAAAAAAAAGGGGAAAAAACAAATCAATAAAGGAATGTACCTTTTTCCTCACTTCATTAAATAAGTTGCAAGCAATAAATATGAAAACTAAATGGGAAGAGATGTATAAACTGTTTGAATAAACAAAAAAATTTATGCTTCCTAAGCAATTGTATAACAATATCCTGGGAAAATAAACCTCTCCATCTTAAGACCGTGATGTCTCCTGAATAATACACACGGAATAGCTCAAGGTTCCTTCTCCTTTGTGACAAACGATTCTTAAGCATGCAATAGCATTGAAGTCAAATTGTTCCCTTATTTTAAAGTCTATGTAGGATTATCCAATGAAATAAGGAGGCTTGAACATGATGTCATTTGCATACCTGGTCGAGGATAGAACTGTGAGATATGAACTTGAGGTAATTTGTACTCCTTAATAAGGTTGATAGTTTGACAAAAATCTTCATCCGTTTCCCCTGAAAAGCCCCATAATTGACAATAAATTTGGCAATCATTTACATAAAATAAAATTGTTAGTCATGAAGGTTAGGACTACCAAATATTATACGCTTCCCAAAATGTGAATCTACACTATATGCATCGTTGAAGGAGAAACAAAGACTCAAGAGGGTGCAAAGCAACAAAAGGGGAAAAAAGGTCCTGACAAACCTTAAAGAAATGATCTTCACACTGCTGTACAGAGGCTAAAACAAATCATTCATGCTTGAACTTTTTGCAACCAAGGGCTACAACGAATTTTTCAATTGGTTTCATAATAATCAATAAAGTTTCACAATTAAGACATATCTATATTTTAAAATATTTGTAAGTTCATTGCTCAAATATTGCACCTTTGAAGATGAAACAATAATTTATAGTTGCAACATAAAATCGATTAATGTTAAGTGTTATTTCGTATTTCCAATCCAATACGGCATGCAAGCAATAAGAAACCATGCACACCCACAGAGAGACAACAATAGAAGTATAGGAATCAATACGTGGCCTTAAGCCCATTTACTAACCAGGAAATCCACATATTATATCAGTTGCAATCTGCATCCCAGGAACAAGCTCAGTTAAGGTATCTACTACAGTCCTGAATTCATCGACTGTATATTCTCGATTCATTGCCTGAGAGAAATAGCAACCATTAGGATTATAAGCATTTTCATTCCCCAAAACAGCACAGGGATCAAGAAATTACAAAAGAAATTCTAAGAAAATTTAGGTACAGTCAACACTTACACTCAAGATTGCGTCACTTCCAGATTGAACTGGCACATGCAAAAAGGAGTATACGCATGGATGACACAAGACATTAGCTATCTCTTTCAAGTGCTCAAGAATAAAAGGAGGATTTGTCATCCCAATCCGAAGCATTGTGCTTGCATCCGGTGGAAGCTCAGCAACAATTGCATTTAATAAACTTGGAAGATTGACCCCAATGTCACGGCCTGAAATTTCATCATATGACATTAGCAAGGAAAAATATTATACAATCCTGATATTCCTAGGATAATATGCATTATTTCAACGCTCAATTTTGATATAATCAGAAAAAAATTATCATCTAACATCTAAAAAATTACCGAAGAAGTTATGATACAAACCAATCATTGGTTTATTTTTAACCTACACAGGCTACCTTGTCCATTTCTTTGCTAATCTTATAAGCGACCACCTAACCAACCGACAAGATAAAGACCTGAGATGGATGGTTGACGGTTGGATATGACTTTAATTGTATCTAGATTTATAGCTTTCCTTCAAAGAGGTGTGGGAAATTGTTAGGTTAATATCTCTTTATGGGCTCTGGTTACTAAGTTGTTTTGTAATTATCAATTATATTTTATTCTTTCGGAATGGAGTACATTTGTTAGTTTGGATTCCTTTTGTAAGGCTGGTTTTTTGTAAGCGTATTTTCTTTCTTGTTTCTTCATGAAAGCTCGGTTTCCCATAATAAAAATAAAGAAAGAAAGAAAGAAAAAGAAAAACATAATAACGCAAGAAGAGTCCCAAACACTCCTCTACAAGACTAGTAAAACTTCTCACGCTTTTGGAAGGAATCTTATCATACTTGATAGAAGAATCAAATTTCTCAAGCTCTGCAATTTTGATGCTAGTAATTTTTGAAAATTTTTAAACTATTTTTTAAATACGTAACCTATTAGAAAAATTGATAATTGGAAGAACTTAGATGTTCACATGATGAAGAATATAATCTTCATTCCAAATTTCAATAGTTTAGACCATAATTGTCATAATAGCAACATTTTCCATCAACATTTTTAGAAATTCCAACTCTGTATATTTCTGTGGATACAATACACCATCTTCTGATAAAATAACTCAATCAGCACTATATAAAGTATAAGAAACTACCAGCTTGTCATATACTACAAAATTGAAAAAAAATCTCAGATGGAAGTAATGTAAATATACCATACGCTCCAGTATCTTCACTGCTCAACCATACTTCCTTGACTCCTTCGTTGATGACAGTTCTTACACGCTTCACCTGCAATACAGTTTTAGCAAATCTTTTTAATAAAAAACAACATAAAGTTTTCTAACTAAAAAAATGGAGGATATACGTTTAACAAAAATCATACATGAGTATAAAGTCCTTACAAGGCTATCTACAGTGTAACTTCCCAAGTGACCACGAGCATGTTTTGTCTTACAATAAGTGCAAGCACCTAAACAACCAACATTGATTGGAAGAATTTCAATGAACTTGTTCTTCCTTACCTGTTCAAAATTAAATTAAAATTTTTTAAAAGTTAGCAAAAGGGTAAAAAATAAAAACAAGCTAAAGAATTAAATCAAACTCAAATAGAACACTCAAAAAGCTAGAATGGGAATCAATTCGCACTTTTGGGAGGTCAAGCGCTGGCAGTGTCTTGCGATTTAACAGCCTTACTTCATGACCTTTCAGTGTCTCTTCCACAACTTCTACCACACGGTCAATCTGCTGGACTCCTACTATACTGACCCCCTCTAGCTCCTTTAAATCTCTACTACCTTGTGGTACACACCCAGCTACCACAAGAGGCTTTTTCGCATTCTTGCATTTTGTTATTAGAGTGTCCATAGCAGACTGGCTAGGGGATTTAACTGTGCAACTGCATAAATATTTATCAGGCTATTAGTAAAAAATTCCAAATTTGAATGTTCTATACATGGACAGAAAAAATCCATGATAGTATGAGCAAAAATATAGATCTGTGCTTTCTAAGCCAAAGCACATATACGCAGGGCTAACACTATGCAGAGGAAGTTGAAGGTTCATGTCCTCAAGAAGACGTAATGTAATTACCAACCTGGAAGAGACAACTATGTACTAAATGAACGATGCGAATAGTATGCTAAGGCCCACAACCAAGTAATAATGCATGTAACAGGCACATAAAATTCTTTGATTACTGAACAGTTTGAAGCATTTGAAAGCATTCACAGGCAACTTATGCTTTTGTGCAACTAAGAAAGAAATTTTCATTGAACATTTCCTATAAAATTCAGACTAAATAAGGAAGAGTAAAATTTGAAGGAACAGATCATACGTATTTATAAGCCACAAGTCTGCCTCTTCAGGATTGTCACTTAACAAATAACCAAATGCTGAAAGCTGACCAGCCATGTATTCACTGTCGCTCTGTCAATGAGGAAGACAATGAAGAAAATTGTATCCAATTTTTTAGCAATAATGGCACAACTAACACAGTTAATACAAAGAACCTCACATATTAGAGTATTGTTAAGATTACTCATAGAAAACAAATTGGCATATTAACACCAAACATTTACAACTCAAGAAATGATATTAGAGAATAAATATATAGCCACTTAAGCAGATTTTTTAAAAAGCAATGTCCAGTGTTTCGCATTGTTCACATTTGAGAAAGTTGCTATATCTAAGAAGAAACTTGATAGTTTCTCCAAAAGAGATTTAGGATAAAGAAAAAAACAGATAATGAATGACAGTTCACAGGTTAGGGAATCATTATTTTGTAAGTTTCTTCTCCAATCCGAAATACTAATCTCCTAATTTCATAATTTGACTTGGTTTATGGAATTCACACTAAGATCCATGTATTTAATTGAATTATTTAAAATTAATCACCAATAATGCTAGAGAAGACCTCATTATTACGTTTACCTCCCTGATGACTGATGCATTCTACGTAAAAGTGATAACATGACATGAATCATCTACTAAATGTGTGTGTTTTTGCAAATAAATGGGGTATAGTCTTCTATGGAATAAAAATTTTCTTGGGTTCGTCCAAAACAGGTGAAACATATCTCACATTAAGATTTTTTTTGCAGACCATGATGAAAGAAGAGAAAGTTGGTTCAGGAAGAGTGCAATTTGGACACTGCTGTTTCTTTGATGCTTTGAATGCTGTCAAAGAGCTTTCTATGAAGAACATCTAGTCAGTGTGCGTGGAGTGTCTTACTTACGCAAAAAAATAATATAACATGGTGATTCCAACTTTTTTACATTCAGCTTGTGGCACTCCTTGTTATTTGGACTTGTCCTCTTGAAATTTTGAATCACAGTTTGATTAATGATAGTTTTTAAGTTCTTTATTAGGAAAAGAGAAAAAAATAATAGATTTAATATATGATATGTCTGTGTTACGCACTCTGTCTGCTCGAAAAAAGTTGTAGTTTTACATTTACCACATTGCACTGAAAGCTTTAATTCCAAATGAATCTACATCAATTGGAAGCCTTAGGTAAAACCCATAAAAGATAAAAAGATTGATGGAACGTAAATGAAAATAGTAAAATCCAGATTCAGAACTCCACAAATTGCCAGCATAAAAACTAAAAATCATTTTTATCGACCTATATTTGGATTAAGTGTTCCTCAGACCAATTATCTGAATAAAGAAACTCGAACAGAATTAAAGCCTTAGCCCTGCAATCAAGTCAGGGTAATAATACGACGATATGTGATCAATTTAATAAGTAGAGGTGAAGGACTTGCCTGGTTGTGAGAACATCCAAAAGTTTTAACGTAAATTGTCTGCCAAATTATATCAAACAAAAACTTATTAGCATCCGCAATTGAAACGGGAAAATGAAGCGGAGAAGATAGATTCTACGTGATATAAGGAGACATGAAGAGAGAGACCTGGGTGCCTGGAATCTTAGGAACAAGTGGATTTTGGGTCGGAGAGAGCTGGTTGCTGGAATCATCGGCATCAGGATTGGATTTGAGCTTATTCTTCTTCTTCGGCTTTAAACCCACTGCGGTTAACGGAAGCCGGTAACCAGGGGGAGCGCCGCCTCCTCCACCGCCGCCGATCAGCAGGTCTTCTATGTCTTCCATGGCTTGCATTCACACTCGGCAGCTCCCTGCGCTGGAAGGACGAGAAGGGCAGCCGCGGAGCTTCAGCCTTCACTGCTGCAGTGCTGTTGCTGCTTCTTCTATGGGTTGGGCTTACTTCTGAAACTTCTCAGCCCAAGCCCATGTTCCTTTAATATATTATTCTTGTGGCCTCAAATCATTTGTTGTCCTAATTTTCTCATTAATATATTCTACCAAGTAATTCAATTTATTAAAAAATTGTATTTCCCTTTTTCAGTGACTATTATTTATTTTGTACGGGAAATTCCATCTAGCAACTCAAGTTTTAGATAATAAAAATTTTGTTTCACCACAAATTCGACGTCTCATATTTTTGTCACTAATTTTCTTTTTTTACAACATGTAGGTGGGAGATCAAACTCACAACCTAGAATCTCTTGGTTGTAGATATACGTCAATTACCACTATGCTCATTTAGGCACATATCATGTATTACTATAAAATATATATAATAATTTGTTATATGAATATGTACAATATTTTAATTTTAGTTTATCTAAATATATGTTTCTCATTATGCCAATCAATTATGTTCATGTTTTTTTCATTAGTATCATTTTATGATAATGTTGTATACACATACTTATTGTATGTTATAACATATATACTATACTTTTGAAATCAACTATTATTAAGAATCTAATGAATATATTGTATATATCTATGTATACTAGGTTATAACTTATAGTCATGGAGGTAGCCAGAGATTTTGTCGGATTCATCAATGTTGTGCCACCGCTTGCTCTCGTGGGAGGACGGAGGAAGAGGAAGACAAATTTTTGTGGGAGAGAAGGAGAGAGATTAGAGTTTCATGGACTGAAGGGGAGAGAGAGAGAAATAGGGAGGGAGATTTAATTTTTGAGAGAGGGAGATTTGAAGTTGAAAAATCACGGATTTTTCCATATTTGAATTTTTCTTAATTGTTTATTTAATATATATTTAAGATGACAACTTTGTAAAATTCTGGAGGAGTTCTATCTCATAAGACAAAAATGTAAAATCTTTAATGTTGATGCGTGGATTTCGGTTCTCCGGTTCTCCTCCTCGCACACACCAAACTTGTTGATTCGGGACTAGTACCTGCAAAACCAAATCGAGCTAAACCGGTGTGACTCTAGTCACACGGGCTACGATGCCTAAGTTAGCAAGAGAATAATGTAAATGTAGTCAACTTTTAGATGCCCTTACCTCTAAGGCTGGATCGCTACTTATAGCCGTGAAGTTGTTCTAGAACTTTCCGTAGCTAACCCTAATTCACCGTTGCAGGGCCTGGGCGAAATCGTCGATCGAAGATGGGGACTTGTTGGCTGGGCCGTGGGCCGAGCCCGGCTCAAGGCCGAGCACGGGTCGGGACCGAGCCCTTCGTGGCCCAGTGGGCTCCCATCCGATCGTGACCTGTAGCTCGACTATCGATTCTCGTTGCATAACATTTAACATTAATTTATTTATGTAAATTGAATCTCCCTGTAGTCTAGCAGTGTAGCTATCTTTCTTTCTACCACAATGAATTAGCAAATTAGTGCAGATGATTTAACCAATGAGTTAAGGTTTTAGATATTCCATAAATAGTTATCCAAAAACTCTTTTATGGGCTAAGAATTTGACAAGACACGTGGACAACTTTCCAAGCATCACGAGGGTTTTGGGCCCAGTTGTGCCCGATAAGCAAAAGAGAAAAAGCACGCGTGCCCCAAAGACGAGCAACCCAACTTTTTATCGGACAGAGTTCACTCAACGATAGTACAACCTCAGGTGTTAGAGTATCTTTAAAGGCGACTAACAACTCTCTGTTTGACGCTACAACAAAAATTTAATGGAGCATGTTCCCCCAATTGTTCCCTTATAAAAGGAGAGTCAAACCCTCTTCAAAAGCTATGCAATATCGTGCACCAGACTATTGCTCTCCTCTTACTTATTTCGAAGTAAGTCCTAACTTAAGCTTTTTGAAGTACATTTGGTAGAGCATCAGACCGTTGTTGAGTGTTCGGTCTTGTAGGTTATAATCGCGAGAAGAAGACGATTACATCACCTTTTGTCGGCCACGAAAGCAGACTAGATTTCGGCACCAACAAATCTAACCACTTAGGACTCCTTTGTAATGTTCTAATTTCTTTCTTTCTTTTTTTCCCTTTTTTAATAAAGAAAAATAGAATTGTATAACATATGGACTAAAAAATGATCAACAATAAATTTATGTTTCCAAAAAAAAATCATGATTTTGAGAATTTTTCTAAGAATATGAAAACGAGAAATACAAATAGTTGTCAAATGCTTAAGTTTTTAATTAATAGAATTGAAAATGAGAAACAGGAAACGAAAGGTTATCAAACAAGTACTTAACTATTATTATTTACTACTTCTAGAATACAATTCCTTGACTATTATTATTTACTACTTCTAGAATACAATTTATTATGAATTCTTTACCAAGTCTATTTACTCTTACTTTTATTCCCTACTAGTAAGAAACACGTGCGATGCACGTGGAACTCGAAAGTTTTATTTTTAAGTACAAAAAAATTAATTAAAAAAAGTGATAAATTATAACGTAATCTAATTTTATAAAATTGAAGATGTTGGTTTCAGTATTTTATTATTATTATATGAATATTTTAGGTATTCGTATTATATTATATTAATTTTAATTAATACAAAATATTGATTTGAACATATTTTCTGTTCATTTATTTATGATACCTTTTACGATTCCTAATTATTTATTTATGTGAATATTTTAGATAATTCTTTTTTTTATATGAATATTTTTTTATTGGAATTTAAATCAACACATACGATGTTGCATGAATGATGTACTACGTATTATATTTTATCATGAGTTTTTATAAAAATATTTTATCGGGATTAATTACAATTCTTCATTTATCGTCAAAAAATATCACAATATATTATTTACTTACAATTTTTTTTTGTAATTATAATTTAAAAATAAAGGATAATTAATTATTCAACAAAACTGAAACTGAATTTAAACATGTTAATGAAATTAATAAATATTTTATATAATACAATACATTATTTATTGGACTTGACTTCTAAATTAGAAGTGGGAAAGTTACTTAATGATTAGCTACTATAGTTCTCACCTATTTTTACCTATACCGAACCAATAACAAAGCCCGACTACAAGGATTTTGTATTTCTAAACATAAATGCACAAATTATAGAAACCTATTTTTCTCTCCTCTCCCTTCACGCGTGTATCGCCTTTCACTATATGTCGTCTTATGTCGTCTTCTTCTGTCCAATGCCGCTACTGTCTCAACAGCTTTCTCCTTCTGGCTCGCCACTACCGTTCCCTCTCTCGATCGCGCCCCTAGCATACAAGTTTAAAGCAACAACATTTTGCGACCTCGACTACAACTGGTATGCCCTCTGTCTTCCCTGTAACGACTTCTACTATGCCCTTTGGTTTAAGTATAGTGAGAACGAAAATCTCACTTTCTCGCAAGTTTTTTAGTGCTCTCCCCTTTGCATTTCGTATTTATCTCACCCACTATGTATATATATATATATCTCGAAAAGATGAAGAAGATGAAAGAGTTTTTAGAAGTTAAATGGAATAAAGATAATGAAGCATTAATGATCTTCTAATTATAGTCTTGCTTCATAGTATATGACAAAATTGAAATAGGAAGATGAAACACTAAAAGGTATTATGGCATAAATGAAGGGAGACCAATTTAGAGGGGTGGGATCGTGAGGGAGAGAAGAGAGAAATGGAGAGAGAGAAAATTTGTATTTAAATTACGCAATTACAATCAAAAGAATAGTGAAAAGAGTTAAAATGAGAGGGTAAAAATGGAACACAAAGTTCCTCCTAATAGTGGCTTTTATATATACTATAGATATATACTATAGATATAGATTCTTAACATCAAACTTTTATCTCTAGTTACTAGGGATTATTGTAGCCACATGATTTATATGGATTGACTAACTTATCTTGATTAGATTAATATGATTGTTTTCTGACTTTCTCACAAATAAATAAAAAATAAAAAAACATTCTGCAATAGCCATAACATATCCTCTACTGTTTCAAATAATTATTCCCAGATCTACATTTAAATCAGAGGAGGAAAAAGGAAGCATATGTGTTAATTTTGTAAACTCCTTATGGTGGTTGCCACCACCATATTGATTTCGCTAGACAGTCGACTCCAAAGAATGGGATTTTGAGTTTGCTTCTTGTTAGGATCGAACGAGGAGAAGAGATAGGGCTTAACGAAATTCCTTCTAGGTCAAAACAAATCTGACCCAATTGTAAGCAGAAATCAATAAAGAAGAAAGAGAAGAAGAGATATGCACAGAGGTTTAAGTGGTTCAGTCACTCAAGGACCTACATCCACGGTAGAGGGCATCAAATCTTTCACTATTCATGTAAGAGATTTCAAGTACAAAAGACGTAGCTATTCCTTTGGGCTATTTATACATTGTTACAATGAAGTATCTGTTAGGTAAAATTTACCCAATTTACACTGTTTTCACACCGTAAAAAATACCACAAATCTCCACCTTTGAAAACGTTATGTAAGTGATCTATCCTTGATTTTGATTTTTTTTTCATTTTATGGTGCGAGAACTCCAGCCAGTTGCAAGCATTGAACAAATTTCACTTGAGCTACTGGTTTTGTTAGCATGTCTGTTGTATTGTCAGAAGTATTAATTTTCTCTATCTTGATTTGCCATTTCTCAATTTGTTCTTTTATAAAGTGAAATTATGCTTGGTTCTATTGTGAAATTGTTGGTTTTTGAAGAGATAGACTGTGCTCTGATTGTCACAATATATTGTGACATCTTTTTGTTCATACCCAAAGTATTTTAGCAACCCCTTTAGCCATAGGGCTTTCTTTTACTGCCTCTGCTAAGACAATGAATTATGATTCTGTAGTTGATAGGGCCACCACAGGTTGAAGTGTAGACTTCCAGCTCACAACATTTTCCCTGATAAGGAACAAATATCCAGTCAGAGATTTTCTTTGATCAATGTCCCCAGCGAAATCTGCATCTACATAGCCTTGAAATTTATTCTGATTTCTTTT